GTTTGAACCACCAACCTTTTGGTTAGCAGTCCAGCGTAAGCCTTTGCGCCACCCAGGGACCTCCCGTCTCTTACAGGCACTGCGTAGATCGTGCGCACAGCTCAGTGCAATCACTTCTGTGAAATGAGACTTTCAACCACACCAAGGGTCTGTAAAGCAGAAATCTGCCAGAGAAAGAAAACGTAAATATTTGACACTCACACAGAGCGGGAGAAAAGCGGTAAGACCGTACCCTGTCAAAGACGGACAACCTGCAAGACGCAGAAAAACAAAGCTGTCCGTTGGGTTTTGGTCTCACGGGTTTCACTGTACCATCAAATGCACAGAGCCGTGACGTAAAGAGAAAGGGATCTAGTGGCTCTTTCTCAAAGACAGAACTGTGCGAAGGGAAGTTAGTATAGAATGGATTTTAGACAGAGCAAAATGTCTTTTCTATAAAAATACTCTGATAGCAGGGGAGACAAAGATTTGTGGTGACGGTCCCTTTAGGGAAACTGCTTTTGTAGTCCCCCCTCCCAATATCATTCCTACAGCACATAAGGAATAGAACCTAAAGATGGTCACTCTAACCATGGTGCACTGGTGACAATTCTCAGTCAATTAGGAAATCTTTAGAATGGAACTACTCAACAGGCCAGGGCCTTGTCACCATCATGTATGCTCACAGACACCGGGGCAGCCTGGCAGGGGAACGGAGCACTTGAGCTTCCTTCTGCCGTCAAACATGGCTGCTCGTGAGCACCTTACTCAGAAAGGCAGTGGCCGAGTTAAACCTACTTGAACAATAAGACTGGTTGTAACAGGAAAACCCATACGCTTGAAAGCATTCGTAATAAAATAATTAAGTAGGTGAGTGGCTCGTGCCTCCGAAACAATGAAATGGTGATACTAATTGTAGATGTTCAATAATGGAAGCCACGTCCCCGGTGTTGTGCCACACACCTCAGAACCATGCCAGGGAGGGAATGACATGCTCATTTAACAGACAAAAGGCTCAAGGCCATGGTCAGCAAGTGGTGGTGCTGGGCCTGAAGCACCATTTGTCCAATGACCATGCTCCCCTCACGCCAGGCTGCGCAGGGCACACCATGGTGATGGAGACGTGTGTGTGTGTGTGTGTGTGTAATTCATGGAGCCTAGGTGGCACTAGCAGCTTGCAATTGTCTGCTAACCTGAAGGTTGGCAGTTCAACCCACCCAGTGGCTCTGTGGAAGAAAGACCTGGCGAACTGCTTCCGTAAAGATTACAGCCAAGAAAACCCGATGGAGCTCAGTTCTACTCCGTAACACATGGGGTCGCTGTGCATTGGAATTGACTTGATGGCAACGGGCTTGGTTTCTGGCTTTTGGTTAATTTATAATGACCTGAAACCCTCTTCACCAGGATTCTCAGGTTATCTTCCTGATTTCAGATTAAAGGCAGAGAGCCCGGACGGATTCCCCCCAGAAGCAGAAGGCACACATGTGCTAACAACCAAATGGTCTTTTCTTAAATGAGGAAGGAACATAGGCACTGGGGATGCAGCATGCCAGGAATGGGGTCCTGGGCAATGAGGCATTCGCCTGCTCCAAGTCGTGAGCCCCTCAAGCCCCCAGAGCTGCCTCTTCTGCTTCCGCTCCGCCTTCTCGCAGGCTCAGCAAGGTCTTCCTTGGAGAACTCTGCTTGGCATCAGCGTCTGCCCGATGGGCGAAGAGGAACAGGAAATAAGGATGTTGTTTATCCACAGCCAGCGTCCTCCTGCAGCAGCTGTGAGGTCTACAGGGAAGACCCGATGCTCGAGCCTTTTAATTAGAACAAATTATGCTAAAATGACTCTCAGACCCTGTCTGATGGATCGTACACAACTGTGGGAATTCCCTTAAATACTGGTGAACAGGCCGCAGGCAGAGCGCCACAGGTGATGCCTGTCTCAGAAGCACGGCACCCTCCAAGATGCCAGCGTGCATGTTTCTTTCCCAAGAAGCCGGCCACACTCATCATAAAGGAAAAAAAAAAAAAAAAGCTGATGGAAGTCTAGTAGCAAAGGATCACAGAGGGATCACCCCAAAATGTAGAAGCTACACCAGGGATCTTGGAACGCTGACAAGGAGAATGAGTTAGTTACCTTGATGAAAAAAAAAAAAAAAGAAAAATACCCTAATGATAGGAAGAGTCCCTTGGTGGCGCAAACAGTTAAACAGTCGACTACTAACTGAAAGGTAGGAGGTTTGAAACCACTCAAAGGTGCCTCAGAGAAAGGTCGGTGATCTCTTGGTGGAAGGTCCCAGCCATGGGAAGCCCTAGTCTCCTCTGACACACACGGGGTCACCATGAGGCAGAGTCGACCCACCAACAGCAGGTTCGGTGTGTGCTCTAATGGCAGACTGTGAGGCAGTGTGGTGCAGGGAGCTGTGATACGGGGGTACCAACTCTGACGCTAGTTCTCAGCTGCATCACCTCCTTGTCTTGTGACTCCTCCGTGGCCTCGCACGCCTCCCTGCATCACAGGGTTTCTCTGAGGGACCAGTAAGAGGACTGGGTGGGACAGTCCACCAGCGACACAATGCTGCACAGCCGGGAGGCGGGACGCCAGCACTGACGCGGCCGCCCCACGGCTCCGCGCTCAGACGAGAGCGCGTGTTCGCCGGAGACCCCGGTGGCTGCGCCCTCTCTTACCACTGCTGATGGCCGAGTTTGCAATGACTGTAGCCTCACTCCACTGGTCAGCACTGGAGACAGAGTAGGAACGCTGATGCATGCCGTCCGGCCGGCTGTTGAAGGAGACCAGGCTGACGCCGCTTGCCATCTGAGGCCCAGACGCACTAGTGACATGCCCTAGGAATAAACAAGTCAGGTGAACACCACCGCGGACTGCAGACCAAGACGCCAGCGCGAGCTACCTACGTACGGGGCCTGGAGGCTTGCACGCGGTGCGCTGTCTATGTCCCCACCGAGGGCAGCCACCGTCCCTCCTATGTGGACAGTGGACGGATGCGTCATCCAAAGAAGGCTCAAGGCAAGAGAAGGTGACGCAGATCTTAGGTTGCTTACAGAAGCATTCTGCAGGAACCTGGTGCTTCTTACGGTCACACACAAAGCACCCCCGGGCAAAAACACGCCACATAACCACAGTCTCTGGGTCCAGCAGGGGTGAGGGCAGAAGACCCTCTGCCACATAGCAGAACCCTACTGTGTCAACGTATCAGTGACAGTGGCATGACCACCGACTGGGAGCCACCTGTCTGGTGCCGGAGAAGGATGCTCCTGGTGAAGCTGTACTTTATGATCAACACAAATCAAAACCCCGAGACGCAGACATCAGAGGAAATGTCGACTCTTCAACCACGTAAGTTTACTCTTAACCTTGAAAAGACTAAGCAGAGGAAAAATAACCTTAGCACCATCATATCGCATACAGACCCTCATGAAAAATGATTCCATTGTATACTTAATGATTTGAATCAGTGGCTCGAGATCAAAATGAATGATTACCTGGTCAAACCAATTTTAGATTCAAAAACATAATTAACTGCCTTTCTTGAATGCTCAGCCAATCACACCTGGCTGCTGGTGAATGTGTTCGTTAGATCTCTTTACAGATCTTCAGAAGTATTAGGTTTTCGCGTTTTTTGTTTTAACTTCTTCCAATTGCTTCAGTTTAGAACCAAATGCGTAAGTTCTAAACTGTTCCAGTAGAAGGTTTCCATAGTACAAGATCTTAAATACATAAATTGTATGGATAGTTCTGAAATCTGACCAATTACCTGAATTATCATGGAGCTTTCTAAAATTAGAGGTTCCCAAAACTAAGGATTTGGATTCAGAAAGGCTGGCAGTGGAGCTCAAGAGAACACGCCTTTTCAAAAGCATTCCAGGGATTCGGAAGTATAGCCCAAGTAAAGCAGGAACCAGGGCCTTTACTGCAATCAGCCGGCCTGACTGTAACCCTGCACCGCGTTGGAAAGTTATAAACTCAACTACAGAGAGAACATGTGACAAATACACGAAGCACGAAGATGAGGAACTCTGCCTTTAAGAATACATTTCTACCCCAAAAAAGACGTCCATTACATGCTGTGGCCTAAACTGGGTCCCTCGCTTGAAATATCAAAAAGCAAACCACTCAGAGAGAAGTCTGCTGGATTCCAGAAAAAGGCTAAAAGTGAAACTTAAGAAAGGGATTAGAATACTCAGACCTTCACTACTCAAAGTGTGGTTCTCAGACCACCAGCAGCAGTATCCCCGGTGCTATTGACTGAATTGTGCCTCCCACCCACCTCGGAGTATGCGTTGTAAATCCTAACCCCTATTGTATCTGTGGATGTAATCCCATTTGGGAAAAGGGTTTTCTTTGTTATCTTAATGAGGCGGTAACAGTGTAGGGTGTGTCTCAAACCAATCAGTTTTGAGATATAAAAGCAGCAGATCAGGCACAGAAGCAAGCACAAATGGACAAAAGGGTGATGCCACATGGAGGCCTCCAAGGAATCAAGAAAGAGAAGCTGAAAGAGACAGGGACTTCCCTCAGAGCGGGCAGAGAGAGCCTTCCCCTAGAGTCGGCACCCTAAATTTGGATTTCCAGCCTCCCGAACTGTGAAAAAACAGATTTCTCTGTGTTAAAGCCACTCACGTGTGGCATTTCTGTTATAGCGGCGGCGCAAGACGACGAAGACAGCTGAAGAGAATGTTAGAAATGCAGAATCCCAGGCCCCACCCTGGAGTCTGCTTTTTAATAAGATCCCCAGGTCACTAGTGTGCTCCTTCATGTTTAAACAGACCTGATACAGAACTGTAATTAGTTAATTAAAAAAAGCAACCTCAAACTCAAACCAGAGAATAACCACTAGCACCAAACGAGGGCTTTAACTAGAGCTGGGGAGCACGGAGACCAGGGTTCCCAGAGCGGCTGGGCGAGGCAGCGGAGTACTGCTGAGCTTGAAGCCTCCAGGTGCCTGGTCTGGAGGCCGTGCTCTCATCTCCCCTGCAGCTCTGATGTTCTTTTTTTTTATAGTTGTGCTTTAAGTGCACGTTTACAATTCAAGTCAGTCTCTCATACAAAAATGTATACATACATTGTTACGTGACCCTAGTTGCTCTCGCTATAATGTGACAGCACACTCCTCCTTTCCACCCCGGATTTCCTGTATCCATTCAACCAGCTCCTGACCCTCTCTGCCTTCTCATCTCGCCTCTGGACAGGAGCTGCCCATTTAGTCTCATGTATCTACCTGAGCTAAGAACACACTCTTCACGAGTATCATTTTATGTCCCACAGTCCAGTCCAATCTTTGTCTGAAGAGTTGGCCTCGGAAATGGTTTTAGTTTTGGGCTGAGAGCCCACGGCCCATGTCTTCCGGGGTCCCTCCAGACTCAGTCAGACCATTAAGTCTGGTCTTTTTACTAGAATTTCAGCTCTGCACCCCACTTTTCTCCTGCTCTGTCAGGGACTCTCTGTTGTGTTCCCTGTCAGGACGTTCATTGGTAGTAGCCAGGTACCATCTAGTTGTTCTGGTCTCAGGCTGATGAAGTCTCTGGTTTATGTGGCCCTTTCTGTCTCCTTTACTCCAGGTGAGCTAGGACCAATTGATGCATCTTAGATAGCTTCTCGCTAGCTTTTAAGACCCCAGACACCACTCACCAAAGTGGGATGCAGAACATTATCTTAATAAACTCTGTTATGCCAGTTGACCTAGATGTCCCCTGAAACCACGGTCCCTAGACCCCTGCCCTGCTACTCTGTCCCTTGAAGTGTCTGGCTGTATTCAGGAAACTTCTTAACTATGGTTTAGTCTAGTTGTGCTGACCTCCCCTGTAGTGTTATGTTGTTCTTCCCTTCAACTAATGCTTATCTACTATCTAGTTAGTGAATACCCCTCTCCCTCCTTCCCCACCCTCCTAACCATCAAAGAATGTTTTCTTCTGTGTTTAAACCTTTTCTTGAGTTCTTATAATAGTGGGCTTATTTTTGTCCTTTTGCGACTGACTAAATTCACTCAGCATAATGCCTTCCAGATTCCTCCATGTTGTAAGATGTTTCATGGATTCATCGTTGTTCTTTATCGTTGCATAGTATTCCATTGTGTATATATACTATAATTTGTTTATCCATTCCTCTGTTGATGGGCACCTAGGTTGTTTCCATCTTTTTGTTACCATGAACAGTGCTGCAATGACCACGGGTGTGTATATATCTATTTGTGTGATGGCTCTTATTTCTCTAGGATATATTCCGAGGAGCAGGATAGCTGGATCGTATGGTATTCTATTTCTAGCTTTTTAAGGAAACACCGAATCGATTTCCAAAGTGGTTGTATCATTTTACATTCCTACCAGCAGTAAGTGTTCCAGTTTCTCCATAACCTCTCCAGCATTTATTATTTTGTGTTTTTTGGATGAATGCTAGCCTTGTTGGGGTAAGATGGTATCTTATTGTAGTTTTGAGCCGCGTTTCTCTGATGGCTGATGATTGTGGCGGCTCTGATGTTCTAACAGTCCCACTTTAAAGCATGGACGAGTGTCCTACACACCCCAGAAGGCACTGGACATCCGAAGTCACACCCTCAAAGGCGGCTCTGACACTTGGTGCCCCCCACCCCACAGCGGCCGGGTTGGGGGGGTGAGCCCTGTGTGCCGTCTCAAAGACACAAAGCAGCAATGCAGGGCCAATGGGGAGGCACGAAAGGACATCTCATACACCTTCCGGAACTTTCCATCTGCCACCACTGGGGCCACCCTCTGGGTATGCTTCTCTGCAGCCAGATCCTCATGAAAACAGGGCATTCAGGACCCAAGGTAGAGAGATGCTTCCATGAGCATTTCCTCCTGCAGCCTGGGTGGACACCTGCGGTCTGCTAGCCACATTCCCACCATGGCCCCTCTCACCATGCTCTGACCAATAGCTGCTCCACCAGCATCAATTACTGCAACCCAAATCACACCCCATTCCCTATTACAGGACTACACAGAAATGACATGACTCAATTTTGGCCAAATCAACATGTGTGTCTGGACAGAGCTATAAAAGCAAACTTTTCAACCGGATCTACAGACCTGAGGCCTGGACTCTGGGTTGGGCTCATGGTGTGTTTATGCTTAGTTGTCTGTGTGTGTGCGCGTGCGCGCGCGCGTGTGTGTGTGTTTAAAGGTACAATTAATTTGGGAGAATTCGTCTAAAGATCCAAGTTTCTGGCATGGCTTGAAATATGAGACTATCTGGCAGCCGTGGGCCTGTGTTTGTGCTTGTAAACTGTTACAGATTGAATTGTGTTTCCCCAAAAGATATGCTGAAGTCCTACCCCACCCCCCACCTGTGAATGGGACCCTATTTGGAAAACAGGTCTTTGAAGATGTAAGATCAGTTAACATGAGGTAGTATCAGAGTAGGGTGGGTCCTAACCCAATCTGAGTGGCGTGTCCTATAAAAGAGAAGAGACAGACAGACAGACAGAGGAAGGACAGACATGGTAAGATGCATCTACAAGCCAAGGAATGCCTGTGGCTACCAGAAGCTTAAGAAGCCCTGGTGGTGCAACCAACCTAAACGTTGGTGGTTCAAACCCACCCACCGCTTCTTCGGGAGAAAGACCTGGCGAACTGCTCTCATAAAGATTACAGGCAAGCAAACACTATGGAGCAGTTCTACTCTGTCACATGGGGTCACCATGAGTCACAACGGGCTCAACAGCACCCAACAACAACGACAGAAGCTCAGAAAGAAAAGGAAAGATCTTCCCCTAGAGCCTTCCAAGAGAGTGGGGCCCTGTCGACACCCTGAATTTGGACTTCTGGCCTCCAGAACTGTGAGACAATAAGCTTCTGTTCTTATAAGCCCCCCA